TGACCGTCACATTATAACGCCCCCACCGGCTGAAAGGGCGAGCATGTTTGGTGGGACGGGGATTCGAATCCGCGACCCGCAGATTGCGAGTCGAGTGCCCTAACCACCTGGCCATGCCGGGCCGCGAATTTATTCAAATAACTGTATCAATTCAACTCACCCTTTCCGACTTCACTATCAAACCACACTATTATATGATTTTTTTTAATAATAAAGAATAGATTTAAAGCATCTTTAAATGCCCCCTAGTAGCACATCGGTATGTCTGCGGACTTACAACGCTAGAATCCAGGTTTCGATACCCGTGGTGGGCAGAGCACAGAGAGCCCATTGTGTAGCTTTGTGCTTAATTACAAACAAACATCTTTAAATTGTTGATTGTAAGCTTCAGCTAGTCAGTATATTCTAATATGTATTCTTAGTGATTTGAATTGTTGCTTTTCTATTTATAAGTAGATTTAGCAATCCAAAGATTATATAAATATACAAGCGAAAGTATTCGGCTTCGCACGGGTTATTAAGTTGATATATTTTAGTAAGTACATAAAATTTATCATGAAAGTAAAAATATCGATCCAATTTTAAATTTAAATCGTTTCTGAATTAAAGTATTTTAATAAAAAACAAACCTATTTACTCAACGGACTCTAAATTAAGAAATCAACGAATATCATTCCAGTTTTGTTGTTTAGACATGTCATTTTATACTTTCAGTACATATATTACCAACAATATTAGGCTATACTTTTGTTGCTGAGCGACATGACATAAAGCCATTGTTGGAACGCATTGTTACCAAAACGCACTGGCTTTTCTATATATTAGGAGTTGTTAATCTAACTGGTACACTACAAGGTATAGTATGGGGCGCGCACGCGCGTGGATAAGTAATAATACCCAGGTGCACACCCTCAGGGTTCACTTAATATGGGTGCAAAATTTCAGGCTTCTTCCTCTTGGAGCTGTAGCAGTCATACACACACAGACACGCCATTTTATTATTATAGAGTCACTAATATCAATACGTTGCTACATATTGAAGTTGAGAGTATATCATATGTCATGATGTCCCCCAGTAGATCAGCGGTATGTTTACAGACTTTCAATGCTAAAATCCAGGATTCGATCCCCAGTAGTGAACAGAGTGCAAATAGCACATTGTTGACGCATTTCCTACCTCTAAGTGTATACATGCAGAAGTTGTTGATTGTAGCTTTTAGAAGATAAGTTATGTTACTTCTAATTCTAAACACTCCAAAGAAATGTGTTTTGCTTTGGAATAAATTAATTTATGTAGTCGACTTAATAAGAGTATGTTATTCTCAGGTAAACTGATAACTTGAGTTTTGTAGTTAAGTCTGAATTCTCTACCTAAATCTTAAAGGACGAAACTGGTGACGAATTCACAGTGAAATGAAAACACAACTCTTTATTAAACAAACATAATTCAGTAGCCACATGTGTATTTGATGAAAGACAACACTTCTAGATGAAGAGAGATTTACAAAATGTCAAGAATAAGACTGACAGAACTAACCACTGTATACTTCTCCCAATAAGCTAGGTTAATTCACTCAGAGTGCACTTGTTAATAACGTCACTTAGTCATCTCAGATTTAAAACTAGGGAGGGTATATCCCCCAGCTATTCCTAAACCTCTACAAGGTAACTGTTATTAGAGAACACACTCAGCACAAGACTAAGGAGTTCCCCAGAGACATCTTCCGGGGGGAGAGTTCAGCAACACCAGAAAGGAGGGAACAACACTTAATAATGTATAATTAGTTCAAAAATAAGATCACGACATTTTATAGCCAGTATGCCGCCATATTCTATCATTTCAAAATCCCATCTCTTTGGCAGTAATGTACATGTGTATGTGGTAAACGAGGCACTCGTCCAAATTCTCTCCTTCGAGTTATATTCTTCTTGAAAATTACGCCTGTTAAACAATATATATTATGTAACATTGCTACTTTTTGTTATTTTAGAAACTTAGTATTGTTTATTTGATTTAGTGAAGATAAATTTTGTTTCTGTATTTGTTCTAATTCAAAAATACTATTACTTATATAGCTTTTAATTTCGATCTTCCAGTTTTAACTGCCACAACGTTATTGTTAGTCGCCTAGTTAGTGTTAAGTTTGCGTTTGACATTCGAAAAATGAAAACCAACACAACAAAATATTCGTAAATTAAAACACTTTTTTATATTATTTCTATAATAATTTTCTGGCTGAAACGCTCTTCTTGTAGACCAATAACATTCATGAACGTAAACTCGAAAGTGACCTAAACATTCAGTATTCTAACTTCTAGGCTTAATTTCACTAGTTATTTATTGCATTTAAAATTTGAAAAATATTTATGTTGCCAAGATTGTTCCAAAGAAGAAAAAAAATCGTCAAGGAAGCTCTTTCAGACCATATTATGATTGTTTTGTTAGCCAAATTCATATAAACATTAATAGCATGTGTCAATGGAAGACTAAACCTGCAGATATACATATATATATATATATATAACAAAACAATGCACAATTTTAAGGTATCTATTTAATGTACTTAAAAAATAACTGTCAAGCACTCACAATTTTAACTAAGAGGAGTTGCACTGATTGTATAAAGAAACGACATTCTGAATTGGGCACATCAACGATGAATAATCAAATATTAAAATCAATATTGTTTGCAAAAGCAAATGTAACATTTTTACTTAGAATGAAACAATACACAAAAGTGTCAGATTTTAGCAGTCTCTAATTTTGCGTCAATGCCACTTTATAAAGGGCAAAAACAAATACAAATTATGAACCTCGAAAAATAGAAACGAACCGAAAGCATTTCTAAACTAGAAACTAACAGTTCAATATTATCATTACTAGTAAAATACTAAGTTAGTACCATGAGTTATAGTTGTAGGCCTTGTAAGTAGTTCCAACGCAAACTCATAGTGCGATTTTATCAACAAACGTTTACACGTTAATTATTATCTTACAAAAGTTCTTTTAAACATGCAATCAAATACCGACTGGGTCATTTTATATTAAATAGCCGAATGTTAAAAGACATAAACAATAATAATGTTATTTAAATAAAAATTATCTTAATGGATTTCAACAAATTACATGCTGTTGTCACTGTATTAGAGTTGTTCATTAGGCTTAGAAATTAAAACTTTAATAAATAACGTAAAGAATTAGGCTGTTTGTATAATATGAAGTCATACTTACAACATATATTTCGCTGAAAATAAAAAGCTATAGAAATAATTAAAGTCAGCTGAAAAATAAAAAACGTACTGAAAATCAGGAAGGGATGTAATTTGGACAAGAGATAGGATTTGACGGTACACCGGTATATCTAGCTACACGGAGATGGCAACACGTACAGCGAACGCGTTTATGCGTGGATAAGAAATGTGTTATTTAAGTATTAAAATTGTATGTTCTGGGAGGTTGAACGCGAATGGATATTGATGATTTGTTAAGGCCTTCTGAAATTCAAAGCTATTGTGGTTACATGCTTTTATATGATGCTTAACTATTACCCCTTTCTTTACTTTTAATTGGCTAAAATTTCATTGTTTCTGGGTTTTCTTATCGCTTTACCTTTCAAAAACACATACCAAACGGTATTTGCTCAATTTCTTAAATGTAGTAGAATTTTCGGATATCGGCATTACGCAGTTTATTGCGTATTATTTTGATTATTTTTAAAATATGTAAAATAATAAAAGTTGCTTCATTTGTTGGAAGTTTATAAATTTCATCGATTGTATTCTGATAAAAAAAAATCTTAAAAATAAATTAATACGGAATTTACTCTAGGTAGCAGGCCAGTCTTGGGAGACAATGGCGGGTATAGGATTTGGAACTTCGTTAAATACTCAAACTACAACCTCCACCCCATCATTTGGTTTTGGTAGTATAGCTTCAACTGGACAAAGTAAGTAATTAAACAAAAAAAAAATAGTTGTTTAAAAGGGTGATGCTCGAATATTTTGGTAACGCTAAAAACAAAGTGTAGTCAAGTGGGCATTGTAAGCGGTGTTGCTGTTAGGTTAGGCTTAGAAAACACTAATGTCATGAGTAACGTTCGTCGTTATTACTGATAGTAATAATATTAATAATACAGTAATAATATTACTAGCCAATCCAAATCAACATTTCAAAAAGCGACTTACACGTTTTTTCATACTTCACAAAATTAAATAAATACAATTTAGAAAGATTTCCAATTATATCTGTCGGCATCATAAGTTATAACTTATACTAAGTTATAGTTAAACAAATTGCTTCGATATATTTTGCTTTAGTATTGCAGCATAATTTTCATAATCTGAAATATATATAATACTAGTTTAATTAATACCAGACTTAGTCACTGTTTGAATTTCCATTTTAAAGTGTATGAAGATTTCACTTAGAACTTAGATTCTTGAAACAGAAATAAGTTGGATGTTAGTAGAAGTGGTTTGCAACTAATTTGCAGTAACATTTAATGACTTTGGTTTAGTTTTTTTTTTTGTTCACCAACATGTAAAAATTTGTGGTTATGTTTGAGTCAGTGTTTTCCCCTTCTCGACCCACCATTCCTCTTATTACAGATTTTCACACTTGGCTATTTAATAATGGATCTTTGATCTTGTCCAATGCTGGATATTGAGCAGCCTTATCCCACACCTTTCATTTTCCCAGTACTGTTTTGTGTTTACCTCCCTTATCCTCTCCCTTTTGTTACATTCCTTATGGATTTGTAGACCTTCTCCTCGAGCAGTCCTATCAGATTGGGATGTCATTGGCATCATTGGGCTGATATATTTGTCATCGACATCTCATGCACTCCGTACCATTCTACATATCTTCTCCTTTATCCAGATTGATCTTTCCTTCTCAAGACTTTTGCAGTTCGTGTAGGTAATTCTTCTTTGTTGTCGTTTCCCTACCTTCCGTATCCCACCTTTATTCCCAATCTGATCAGGATAGGCATCTGTATCCCATATGAGTGCTTCTTTGTTACATTTATGTACCAAAGAAGCGCACATGACCTTTCTACTTCAACACTTACCTCTTGGGTTTGGCTTTTGAATCAAGTGGCTTATTCCTTCTTAACTTCTTTCTCCTGAAATCAGTTCCAGGTGTCATCACGTCAGATGAGGCACCTTACCTTTTGCCTAGTGTCTTACCTCCATCGTTCAAATTTTGGTGAGACTGTGACTGGGTCAGTTATCTTTTTTATATACATTTCAATTTGTTCAGGGGCATGTCCCTTTTTTATCATCAAGATCCCACTCTGTGGCGAGTGTTACCTCTCCAGGTATACTTCATATATATCACAAATCCTCTCTACGACCAGAATGCTATCATAAAATACAATATTCCCATGACCAATAATGCACACTGTTGAGATGGGGTGGTGGACGTTGGAGGTTTCCTCCTGAATGTGATATAACACTAATATAAAAAATACGAAACATTAAGTTGAGAGTAGGATGGTGATGTTCTGGTGGTGTAGATGAGGCGAGTCCTCCATTCATGTGCTCCATCTCTGTACGGCGAGTTCTGAGGGTTGATGTTGTGTCCGACTTCTGTGACTATTTGGAGGGTGCAGTTGTATATAATTTATAACAGCAATCCACTTCTGTGCGGTGGTACCCAGAAGTTTGTGATGTGCTCCAATGCAGTACTGTACTGTCTGAGGTGATGATGTTGCACAAGTCTACTAATAAATACTCTCCATCTCTGTATGGTGGGCTCTGAGTATTGATGTTGCATCCAACTTCTGTGACTATCTGGAGGGTGCAGTTGCATATGACTTATAGGGGCAATACATTTCCACGCGGTGGTATCCGAATGTTCAAGATGCAGTCAAATGCTGTGTGGTCCTACCTGAGGAGATGATGTTGCTGTGGAGTGTATCTGTCACATTGCAGTTTCCCCCATTTATTGGAATCCCTTGTCCATCACATGGATGTCGGTTCGTGGTGATTGGTTTTGTATTTAGAGCAGGACCAATCAATATAAGTCCTCTTACATGTTGCCTGTGTGTTTTCCTATTCCTCATTCAATTTGCCTCGTGATCATGCAGAACAAGGGGGATAACGTTGAAGGAGGCGGTGATTCTCCCTCTGGAACTCCATTTCAAAGAGTTTTCGTGGCCTTTGGTTGCTGTTGCATAGTGGGGTGCCTATCAGATTGAGTTTGAATATGATGTGACCTCCTACAGGGACACTTCTCTTACTGCTGTAATTTGGATGTTGGGTTCCCAGATGTATGGTTAGTTGTGGATGGCATAGATGCATTGGTTTTGTAGATTAGTTTGCACAGTATATACTTCCGTTCTACTGGAGTTGAAGTGAAGACAGTTTGGACCCTCCTCCTACCATGCATTGGAGGTTATATTCTCAATAATGCTTGGTTATGGACTGACATTGACCTGCTGTGTACAGTCCATCATGCCTTAGCCACTCTACATTTTGGAGCACACCCGGTTTTGCTTCCCCCCCCCCCCCCCACATTACTGTCTGTAGAAGATTCACTTACAGCCTCTCATCAATGGGATTGAGATTATGATATCATTTGGTTCATATTCCAATCTAGCCATTTTCTTTACTTTTTGGCTGTGCTCCTACATTCTTTCCGTCAGTGTCTGCAACACCTCTTTTCACACTGGACATATAGTATACCTGGTACAGAAGTGTTACATTCTCCTACATATGATTCTCCATTAAGAGGATCATCAGTATAATGTGTTCTTCGGATGTTTCTTTCTTATCCCTCGCACTGGTCCCTCCACCTGTTCAATGTGGGACTCTAGCTTTTTTGTGAGTAGAGGTAATTTACTGTATTGGAGTTATAATTTTCCTATACTGAAAATATATTTCCAATAAGTACTTACCACACTTCCCACCCTTTCTCCTCACTGAAAACCTGTGCATCCTTTTTTGCCTAAACTCGAAGTGATAGTTCAGTAGAATCGAATAGAGGGAGTCACATGCATCAGGAGGGTGGTTTGCACTCCTGTTGAGTGGGGGGGGGGGGGTTGTCAGGTGATGATTTGCATATGAGATGTAGTTAAACCACGATAATTGTGAAGTATGTGGGAGTGCAAGACTTGTGGCATGTGAAAAATGTTTGCATATAGAGGGCAGCAATAAAGGAGAATAGCTATATATGTGGGAGGAAGTAAGTACCTCTTGAAATATATTTTCAGTATAGGAAAATTATAACTTTCAATTAGTTGGTTATTTTTGTTGCAATCTATTAATAATAATTTTAATTAATTGATTAGTTTATGGGACACTAATTGATGTTGTTGCTGCAAATAGATAATTGATTAAATTGCTCAGCTCTGTATGTGAGAATAATTAATTGATTGAAATAGATTAACATGCTTGACTAATCAATTAGTGATTTCTACTATTTGTTGAACTCTATGGGTAATAAACTTTTGGAATGAATTTTCATTAGAAGTAGTGAAGGTTGGCAAATTATGGTAGTTATAATGAGGTGAATCAATGATATCCTGAAGCTAAGTGTGCAAGAACGGTCAAGAAGGACCAGTGTTCCTTTATTGTCTGCTTGCTATCATAGCATAGTGAAAGATTTATATAGTTTTTTTTTCTATATGACTGACTTTGCCATTAGGCACCTATAAACATGTTGCTCTCCCATAGATAAATTGAACCGCACCCAAGCAATAGAACTATCAGTCTGTAAGGGATATTCCATCTTTCATATTGTTATATATATATATATATAATGTAAATCCAGAAAAAACTGATGTCAGCAAGGATGAAAGGGGAAGAAAATGGCACCATTTCTTCCCAAAGGGGTGAAAACATTTTTTCTAATTTTTATGTAGGCCCTATAAAAAATTCTTTACATTTTAATGGTGTAATTTTTATCAGGGTTATTATTAAAGCGTTATTTTTAGTGTGCCATTTTTATTTTATTTTTTTCCTTTTTCATTAACACAGTTACAATTATTAACAAGTGCCATACATTGTGTTTCTGGTGTATAAACATTGTAATCACCATATAAACTCTTAGAGGGCAAACTATTAACAAGTAACATAGTTATGGAAGCAAAGACCTGCTATTTTTTAGATCACTGGCACATATTAAATTCGGGAATGATGGAGGTATGTAATTTAACTATACTAATCACATGTTCTTACAGAGTGCCTGTTGTTCAGTCATATTTGATAAACCCATTAATTTCAGTGGAAAAGTATGAACACTCAGAATTTGTACGACTTTGTGGCATACACATTAACATAACATAATATTTAGGGGAAACCAGGAACTTATTGGTCCATCCAGGCTTACCCATCTTCTAAAATAAACTAAAACTATTAAATATATAAAAAATTTCAAAGCCATTCCTTATCATTCGTATAGTTATCAAGCCTCCACAACATCTGAAGGCAACCACCATGTTAGAAAAATAAAACCATCTTAGCTGAAGATGACTCTTACTCTGCCAAAATTTAGTCCTCTTGTCCAACCATGCTCACAATTAAGCATGGAAAAAATGATACATCAACACTACCAGTTTCTTCAACAATATAAAACACCTCAATCAGATTCCCTCTAACTGTTCGTTTTTCAAGAGTTTAATATATTTTCATATAATTAATAAAGAAGCCATTTTCTGTAACTGATCACACTGTTATAGTTAGTAAATGTATCATGCTAATGACCTGTGAATGTGTATGATATAATATCAACTTGACTGAGTGATCTTCCCCCTGTCATTAACACATTTCATTAGTTCATGGTTTTCAGTGGTGAGAATGGTAAGACATAGAGACACAAGTATAAATTTTGATAAGTTGAGAGTCATTTTCAGCTTAGATAGTTTTACTTTTCTAACAGGATGGTTGGCCTTTGGAGTGGATTATCTTCAAATGTATGGATGCAGTAAACTTAGGGGAAGGTTTGATAAATATTCAAATGATCAGGTTTGGATTAGAGGTGTTTTTTATGTGGATTGGACCAGCAAGCCCCATTGAGTTATTTTATCCAATTTGTTTGATTAGTTCTGTATGGTGCTTGCTTTAATGGGCAAATGTTATTCAATATGATGCAATGTTTGGATAAATCCAGTGCATTGACAAAGCTTTTTTCCATTCATTATCATTAGTAATTCCATTGAATGTAAAGAGAAAATGAAAAGCTTTGAAGTTATAATAATAGAAACATTTGGGGAGATAGATTGCAAACTCACTCTTGGTTTTTACAAATGAGTTTTTTCGTTGTGCATTTTATATACAAAATTAATTAATTTCTATAGGAAATTCAGCAGTATTCTTGCTAATGATTCTGGGCTTAGAAGTTTTACAGAGTATCATGACCTTTTAAACACTTTTGTTTCTAGACTTCAACTCCTTTGGATATTGTTTTTGTATGAGTGAAAATCTATTGATTTTACCTCCTATTAAAATTATTATTATATATAGTTAATACTTGATACATAACAGTTCTGTATATAACACGACATTACATCAGTAGATTAGTTGCATTAGTTTTAGCTAATTACTTTTTTGCCATATTGATGATTGTTGTAAAGTTCTTTGTAAGTCTTACTTTAATTATTGAACTTTCTGTAGGCTTGTCATATATCCTTTTCAGCTTATAAAAGGTTTACAGTTACTTATTACTTCCTATAGCTAGCCCTATCTGTTTACTAAGTGTCACATCTTAGTTATGTGAGTGTAGTAGAGTTAGACACACCTCATTGTATTTTTAATATGTTGTTTTCTTTGTATTATGTTTAACCTAGTTATATTTTTTATGGATGATTCAGGTATTCTCTGAATTTCTTATTTCTCATTTTGTTTCTTCATAAAGTCATAAACACAGTTTTTATTTGTACTGTAGGTAAATTAATACTTCTAACTTGCACAGTTTAAACAATAACATTTCACTGTAAACTTGTCACACTCCCAGATGTCACTTTCTTCTCAAGTTACACTGTAGAAAGGCTTAGTGAGTTTTCATTGGGCAAAAGGCATGTTGGGAAGAATGTGAAAAAAATCAGGCATGTTATACTGATATGTTTATCAAAGAAAATTATTTCTGACAGTTAAGTGTTTCTATATTCCCTAAGTAAGGTGTACTATATTATTTATCTATTGTTATTTTCATTAACAGTATTGGTTAGACTGTTTAATATATCAAATGTTATTACTTTTTTATTTCATTTCGTATTATTATAGAGATTGTTTTGCATCATTAGCTTAATATATGTATTTAGGACTAACCAAAATAACATAAGTTCACTAAATCTTTTTACATATTATAGGAATTATGTCTGAAAATTGTTTAATTGTGAGTATACCCAACTAATGAAACATGCATTCTAATCTTTATAAATAGGAACATAAGAAAAGTATATTTAATTAGCTATACATAGCTTGCTGTGATAGGAAGTTAATATTAGTTATAACCAGAGATGTATCTTTTTTTGGCCTTATGGTTTAAAGTGTTTACTATGGATATTAAAATAGTATATATTTTGTAATGAAATAAAATGTTTTTGTACCTTACCACATTTGAATCTTTTCGTTTTTACGTTTGCCCCCCCCATATTTTCTAGTTTTGAGATATTTAAGATAATCATATTTCTTAGAGATATACAGAATTATGTAACATACAATTAATGTATATTTGATAATTATTTGATATTTCAAGTAATTTTGTTTCTTAGAGCTATACAGAATTATGTAACATACAATTCATATATATTTAATAATTATTTGATATTTCAAATAATTTTATTTCTTAGAGCTATACAGAATTACGTAACATACAATTCATATATATTTAATAATTATTTGATATTTCAAATAATTTTGTTTCTTTGAGCTATACAGAATTATGTAACATACAATTAATGTATATTTGATATTTCAAATAATTTTGTTTCTTAGAGCTATACAGAATTATGTAACATACAATTATATTTCTCCTAAATCTGACTTAAAGTTTAAGGATGTGCATTGCATCCATGATAAAAGTAAACAGAAACTAAGTTAAATACAAACATTTCTTGAAAAAACTGTTTCAAACTGAGATATGTCTATGGACTTACAACACTAGAAACCAGGTTTCAATACCCGTGGTGGGCAGAGCACAGATAGCCCATTGTGTAGCTTTGTGCTTAATTACAACCAACCAAAAAAAGGTTTTGCGATAAAGATCCCCAAAACAAGATTTTGGTTTTATATATTAGTATGACCAACTATCAGCACATTCTACAAGATTTTGGTTTTATATATTAGTATGACCAAATATCAGCACATTTTATAAGGTTTTGGTTTTATATATTAGTATGACCAACTATTAGCACATTCTACAAGATTTTGGTTTTATATATTAGTATGACCAACTATCAGTACATTCTACAAGGTTTTGGTTTTATATATTAATATGACCAACTATCAGCACATTCTAGATTGCTTATGATACTTTTTACACTACACCTGTTTGATATGATGCCATACTCTGTTTTATTAACATTGTGTTGGCTTACCTGCCATGATGTGAGGGTTAGAACTGGGTGATTAACTCGATTAATTGATAAGCATCAGTTAATTAGCGTAATGGTAAATAAATGATTAATTGAAATTACAATTAAATCAATGTCACAGAAATAAACAACTAATCAAAATTAGTATTTCCAGTTATTACTGTTTTTGATTATATCAATTATACAGGTAATTGAAATATTGCCATTGTGATTACTTGTAGTTATAAAAGATTAATTCAAGGTTATTCACTTAAATTTATTAGTGTCATGACTAATTGAAATTAGTATTTTTGAATATTTCTGTTATCCAAGTCTTGTGAGATTAATTGATTAGTTAAATGTAACCAATTAATGACCCCGATGGTTAATAGATTATCAAATTCCACTTATTGCCTAGTTCAAGTTAAGTTTATAATAAATTTGAACTCGCTGTCTCACTGTATGTATAAATTAAAAAAAATATTTGATTCTCAAAGATATTGGCCTGGTGGTTAGGGCACTTGAATCACAATCAGTGTGTCATGAGTTTTAGTCATGTCACTGAATATACTTGTCCTTTTAGCTGTAGTGTTGTTAAAATGTGATGGTCAATCCCACTATTGTTAAAGAGCAGCCCAAGAATTAGCAATGGGTAATGTTGACTCTCTGGTTTTCCTCTAGTTTGTCACTTCGAAATTAGGGATGGCTAGTACAGATAGCCTTTGAGTAGCTTTGTGGGAAATTGAACAAACCAACTCAAAGATATTTGGTTGTAAAAAATGCACTTTCAAGCTGATTAGGTTTTTAGGCTAGCAATTAAAAGGCTTGTCAGATTATAAAAAACAACATAGACCCTGCTATTATGGCCAAAAATATCAGTTACAGTGAGGGTGCCCAACTGATAGATTAGTATGGTTTAATCATTTTGAGTTTTTATGTCATTACAGATTTATAGTTAGACCAGTATTAGATGTTATTTATTAATAAATTTTTAGTTCCCATCTATGTAGGTAGCTTGCTTTCATCAGAAGCTATTGATAAACAACATACATCTATAGCATAAAGTCAAATAAATATTTGGTGCTTGAAGACTGTCCTGGCATATCCACCTTTGAGAAAAATAGAAATTTAAACTCTACCTTTATTTTCCAGAAAATCATTGATTCCCCCTTGTAAGATCCTGTCAAATGCTGACCTCTATTACTGCTAATAGCAACTCAGTCAATATGTCAGTCACCCTTTGAAAAAATAAAACTGTCTTATCCCTATCATGGCTGGTAAGCAAAGTTCAGGTGTCAGTGCACATCTGCATATCAAATTTTAAAATTTAACTGAAGGTAATAATTCTAACTCTGTTTGAACAGTTTTAACTCAAAAATGTTTTTGAATTCATATTTTGTAATTATTAACAAAATTTGTAAAGAAAAATGTCAAACTTACATAGAGCATTTTTTTTTTCTATTGAGCAAGAGAACTACTTCTTCCTAGACCTTATGCAAAATTGAGAGAGTTATTTCTAGAAGATAACTTTAGTGTAAAAAGAAAGCTAGCCACCCTTTAAGCTATACTATTTTAGATTTATAGAAAATGTCTTTTGAAATACAACCAGACAATGATTATAGACACATTGCACTCGAATGCCACAAACCACACCAGTTACCAAACAAAATTCTGAAAGAAAATTCTTTTTATATTTCTTCTCAACTTCGAGGTGTCTCACCTATCAGAAACATACATCAAGTTTTTTTTATAGTTTTTTCTATCTATCTCAAAGTATAAGATTATACTTGATAAGAAGGTATCATCCCTTGTGAATGTAATTATTGATGTTTTGTTTTCCATGTGATTTTTCTTTGTTTTCACTGACTGTATTAGTTTGTACAGTCTCTTGTTCCCACCCTTTTATGACCTTGTGGCATTTGTTCTGAGCAATGTATAATGAAGGTCAGCTTTGAAAATAGCTATATGCAAAGTATAAATGTCAATGGATAGAGCAGATTATAAACTATTTATGTTAATGTCATTTGATGATGAAGCACCCACTTTGAGACTAATAATGCTTGGAGATGGCTTGATTGGGTAATGAAGAAAAACTTTAATACAAGTTTAACATAATAGCAAATGTACAATGTTTTGATAAGGTTTTGTCAAAACGTTATACATTTGCTGTTATGTTAAACTTATATTAAAGTTTTTCTTCATTACCCATTCAAGCCATCTTCTAGCATTATTATGTTAATGTAGAATGAATAAGATAGTGTGAGAGTAATTTATGAATCATTTCAAGAAATCTTTTTCCTTTGCTCTTTTTACTAGTAGAAACTTTGATCTCATTTTATGATTTACCCCTTCTATCTGACCAGATGATAACAGTTGCAAGTAAAAATCTTAAACCCTGATTGTTTCCCATACAATTTCAACCTCTTAGCTACTATTTTTTTTTGGAACATATGACATAACATTTAAAAACAACAAAAGACCTGCTGGCCCATATAGGCTTTCTCATCCACTAAAATACACTATTAAAAAAGTCCTCAAAGTCAGATCTTAGTAGAGCACACACCAACATATGACAGGTCTCGGATTTTACTCTGACAAGATACTCTCAACATCATAGATAACTTCCACAATCTCATTGAGCTGTGATGAACCATGGTGTACCATGATAGAGAAAATAACAGATAAACTATAAAGTTGTACTGAAAAAAAACGTTTGAAATGCATTTAGGGGGTTTTAGGGATTATACAAAGGAAATTTGAGATTTTTGAGATGAGGAAAAGTATTTTTAATTTTAACATGAAAATTAATCTGATCACGGACTATTCAAAACAAATTCTCAATATATTCATGGACAAATCTTTATTTTATTTTATTAAAAATACTTCACTAGAAAATACGAATTTTTGTATGTGAAAGACTTGTAATATTAACTGAAAGACTGACAAATTTTGTGAAGATATACACACTATATTGAAAGTTAGAAGTATTAAATCTATAAAGACTAAACAAGTACAAAGAGGTCACGTGGTCAGTCAAATTGACTGAGCCCATGTTGAGAGAGTTAACTGATAATGTTTCTGTATTTGTGGAACAGGTGATTGTTTCCCTGCTGCCTACTTTTCCTCTGGTTCTGGTCCCTAGTCATTTTATTTCATTGGCTTCTTTGGAGATGGCCTTGTCTGTAGATAATTTTTGACAGCTTTTCCACCTTTGCTTTTGGCTCATCTTTCCCTGATGAGGAACAGGTACTTCCTCCTTTTCTGTCTGGTATGCTTGTAAATCAAGTATATGATATTCTTTCCTTTCTCTGACCTGTATATCAAAATGTCTCTTTGGTTGTTTTTCTTTATGTGCATCCTTATGTCCCACTTCCAAGTTGTCCTACATCTTTCTTGTCCTACTCAGCTTTGTGAGCTCCTTTGATATGGCCCTTTTGTATTTCTTGATTTCTAATCTCCTGTATTCTTTTTATATGCTTGGGGTGCTCCACCTTTGTCTTTTTCTCTCTCTAACTATCTGTTTGTTTTTGTCTATTGTTATCCTACTTCTTTGCTCCATCTCCACCATTCACCTACTCACTGAGGGTCTTCATTATGACCCCAATAGTTTGGTAAGGCTGTCTATTCTTCCTTGGTTTGCTATTTTATTCTTCTCCTGTCTATTTTGACCTGGTGTCTATGGTTTGGGATCTCCTCAGTCAGATGTCAGTATCCCGTCCTCTTGTATTAAGGACCTTTGTCTTGCCCATTTGCTAACAGACATGGTCTTTGGGGGTGTTTCCAACTGTTTGGAATTCTGGGTTTAAGCTGCTTACCTGCCTGCAATCTTCTATTGTTTCCATGACTTTCTGACTCACTGCTCCATGTATACCTTTGTCTGCCACCCATTCTCAAGAGTCATGTCAGGCTACTGCTCTTTTTTATTCTCTGTTCTCATGTTTCTGTTCATTGTACCACCTCATACACATCTCTCGGCAGTGACACTTTTTTGAAACCAATCCTGGATTCTGTTGGTGCCCATCTCTTTCACTTTATTCTCCTGTATTCTTCCTTCTCCATTTTCTCTTGAGTTTTGATTGTTCTTTCTCTTCATTTCTCTCCTTTTTCATACTCCACCTCTTCTTTCTCATTGTCCTTTTTCCTATCCTTTTCCCACCTGTCCTCTGCACCTTTTGTCCTGTATCTCAACATTTTTCTATTTTGTCCTCAATGGTCATGTCTTTCAGTCATCCAGTCACCTCTCTGTTGTTCTTCTCCACAATAATTCTTCCCTCCTCACTTCTTCTAATGTTTTCCCAGTCCCAAGCTGCTGGGAAAGTTGATATGGAGTGTTACTCATTGTGAGGTAATGGCAAGTTAAGCAATCATGCATTCTGCCTCCTTAACAACACTTTTGCACCATGTAAAAGACTGTTGTGACACTTTCTTTTGTTGTAACTTTTCTCCTAACAGTGAATACTATAATAACATTGGGCAAAGAGTATTCCCTACTTTAGATTGATGTTTTCTCCCACTGAATGCTGCCTCATGGACATCACACTCCATGTGTTTTCTTTTTCTTATGCCATTTTCAACCCTTCAGCCCAACCCTTCCTTCTCACTTGTGATGCATATAGTTTGCCTTGTGAAGAATGTGCCTAAGTTCAAATGCTAGTGCTCATGGAGATTGCTGCACATGGAGGATGTCATCCTCCTATTCGTGAAGGGTTAATCTTTAGATGATAACATTAGGCTGGAACAGTATATTGGGTTGTCAATAAATTAATGTAGCTTTTTTTAGATGAAAAAACCCCAAACAATTTGTATATCAAAACAAAACATTTATTAAATG